CTCTGTTTTCCTCTGTCCCGACCCCCACTGTAGGAGCACGAAATACCCGCTCCACCGCGCAAAATTGGCCACGAAAGTCATGGTCGGTGCAGATCGTTTGATGGAGCAGAGGGTGGCGTCATCGTCGTCGGCTATACAGAGGTCAGCGAGAGGAGAGAGAGAGAGGTCGGTTGGTTCGGTTTTGAGAGAAAAAAAACACAGAGAGAGCGTAAGAGTGTGAGCCGAGAGAGAAAAGGAGCTTCCGGCGGCCACCGCGCCACAGCTTCAGCCATCCATCCCCGCTGCCGAGCCGACGGCGGCGACACAGAGAGAGACAGAGAGCCTCGGTTGGCCTTGGGAAGAGAAAAACAGAGCAAAAGAACAGAGAGAGAAATAGAGAGAAAGAGAGCAAAGGTGAGACCGAACACTTGCGGGGGTTGAAGAAGACGCTAAGCAGCCTTCCCGACGAGCACACACTTGTCGGCGATCCCCGCCGGAGGCAGCTCCGACCGGTAAGCTTTCTCAGTCCTTAACCCCCCTGTTTTGCCCTGTTTTGAGGTGCCGGTTGGCCGGGACTCGTGTTGTTCGTTTGGCGTGAATTCCGGCCCATATCGACACCACCCATGATCCAGACCAGCCGTCTGAGGTGAGTCGTGGCTGCCGGAACTGGCCGGAGCCCTGAAATAGGTAAAAAATCCCCTGTTTCGGTCATGCATTCCACGTGTTCGACCAAATGCCCACATGAAGTCCGTTTGAGACGATCCTCGGCCGGCGATGTACAGGCTGTCCGGCGACCTTCGATCCCTTTGAGCGACTTTTTGACGGCCATTGGAAGCCGGAACAGGCCAAAGTATGGCCTGGGTCGACCGGTCAAGTTCCGACCGACGTTTAGGCTCAACGAGCCCCGGTCGGAGCTTGACCGGCGACCGCTCCGGTCCGCCGTTCGGCGAGCCGTCGCCCCCAATTTTTTCAGCTTGGAGTGCTGAGGAGACGGGGACCAATGGCCTGGCAGAACAGCTGGCGAATCGCCGGATTTCTGCCCGGCCGAGCGAAGCTCGAAAACAGAATAGGAAGAAGCCGGGTCTGTGAAGAAGAAAATCCGGGTCGGATCCGGGTCAGGCGAAGAGCCCGATCCAGTTCAGGACCCGGCTCAACGACCCGAGTTAACCCCGACCCGGTTCGGACCCTGAGATCCTACCCGGGTCAACGACTTGGTTCGGATCCGTTGACCAGGGTCGGATCGCCACGGAGTGACAACCGAAGTTGTCATGGACCGAATGAACTTGCACGTGACTCGATTTATTATCAGTCACGGGTCGAATATGCAAATTTCCCTAAAAGCCGCCCGTTAGTTTGAGAAATGCTCGAGTTACGTTAAATAAAATTCGATTATTAATTAGAGCCCAAATTGGACATCGAAAAATTGAGAATTCACAATGGGACGTTAAGACGACGTTGTGGTTGGAACGTACAGCTTTGGATTTTCTCGGATCCTTCAGAAAAATTCAATTTCGGCAAGAAAATGGAAAAGTGACCGTTTTACCCCTAGGAATTTGGTAATGGCAAGCTTTAAGAGGGAAGGGCATTTTGGTCATTTTGCCCTAATTTTTGAGTTGGACAATTTTGCCCTTGAACTTTTTTGAGAAATTCCCAAATGGCCCTTGGATATTTTGGAAAAGATTCGATCTCGGCCGTCGATTCCAAGATAAGATCGAATCTCGGCCGTTGATTAAAAAGATTAGAGAGGGGCAAGATGGTAATTTGCCAAAATTGGTCAAAATTGGACTATTTAGACCAAGACCCATTCTCTCTCTCCTCATGATCTCTCTCTCAAACTCTCGGCTCTCTCTCTCTCTCTTCCCCTCCCTCACCGTGAGCTCTCCCTCTCTCCCTTGGCTGCTCATCGCCGCCGCCGGCCACTGCCCGTCGTCGCCGCACCGCTTCACCGCTTTCACGCCACCGCCACCACCGTCCTCTCTCTCTCTATCTCTCTCTTGGCTCACCCTTTCTCTCCCTTGGCCGTGGACAGCCGGCCCAAGCCGAGCAAGCCGCCACTGTCGCCGTGCGCCGATCGCCACCGCCGAGCCGCGCCCGATCGCCACCGCCGAGCCGCGCCCGATCGCCAACGCCGAGCCGCGCCCGATCGCCACCGCCGAGCCGCGCCCGATCGCCACCGCCGAGCCGCGCCCGATCGCCACCACCGCCGCGCCGCCGCTCGCCGCCGTTCACCGTTAACCGCCGCCTGTTTTTCGCTCGAGTCGAGTCAGTCTAGAGTCTCGATAAGTCGCGCCCTAAACTTTATTTAGGACTTCGGATATCGACGGACAAAATTGAGGTGGAATCGGGTTAAAATAGACAAGGATTAGTAGGGTTTTAGGGGCGGATTTGATTAGCGGGCCTAAGGAATGAATTTGGGGAAATTTTGGTGGAAATTTAGAGGCCGAGTATATGCTGAATTTGTTGGTTTGAATGCTGGAAAATGCGGTTCGGTATGTAAATTAGGTATTTAGATCCGGCGACCAATTGTGGGAAAATGTCGTGAAGAGACGGAACTGATTTGCCGTGGTTTTGATATGAAAAAAATGCCAATTTGTATGTTGGTTGTGCGTTTGAACTGTGGTGATGAAATTGGGTGCATTGGTGTGCAATTGATTGATTGAAATATGCTTGATTATGTGCACGCCCGGGCTGAATTGAATTAATTGTCAATCGGCCATGTTGAATGCTTAATAAGCATGAGAATGTGTGTGAATTGGTGCGTGCACGGGCTACGCGTGATTGGCCAATTTATTGGCAAGTGAGTGTGGAGCATGTGTATGAGTGAGAAATTGTGTGGTATGGTATGTGTGATTGTGGAAATCCCTGAGGCGGTACCATTACGCGGGGAATTGATCCGTCCTGAGGCGGTACGACTACGCGGGACGATGCCCGGTATTACCGGAGGACGGCCAACCTGAGGCGGTACCATTACGCGGGTTGTGTCGTAGGTGGTGGGTGTTGAGCCTGAGGTGGTACCACTACGCGGGTAATATACACGGCCTGAGGCCGTACCATTACGCGGGTCACTGGCGAGTGGTGTGGAAAAGATGTGATGAGATCGGAATGAATGCATGAAACGTAATTAGAACATGCATGTGAGTGGAATGATGTTATTATGGCTAACGTGCAGGTTGCACGCTGGAAAGGCCTAGGTAAGTATTGATTGTGTGCCTGCGATGTAATAGCTGAGTGTGGTTGTTTGTCTTGATTGTCTGGAGGTACATAATAGCCTAGGTGGGGTTTAGGGTGTGTGCTTACTGAGATGTATTTTCATGGTTGTTTCAACCAAACAATTTCAGAACCCCGGCCTGAACAATGAATCCGCCGCCGCCGTTGCCACCAGAGCGTTTTGGGTTACCAGTGCACATCGACCACAATGTACTAGAGTTTCCGATCGATGAAAATATGACCTGGATAAAGCATACCTTAGTAGTTTGGGTAGATATAGGGTTACCCCTTTTGCAGGCCCACACATACACCGCCTGGTTCTTCAGGTACGGGATAGACGAGTTTGGACCCGTCCGCGGATTTGACGTCCCCTTTGATGGAGTTGGGAACTGGGACCCGTTTGCTATACCTCCTCCGGATGGCGAGTTGACTAGTGTGGAGACTAGTCTAGCGCAGTCAGGACTACAGTCGGCGCTCGCAGCACCTGAGTCTTTCTGGGGCAGAGCAAGAACCAAAGCCCGAAGGATCGCAAGCGGGGTACGATCCGATGGATGTGGATCTTGAGCCGATCCCAGAGGAAGAACCAGAAGAGGAGGAACCCGAGACGGAACCTGAGGAGGAGCCTGCTGAGCCAGAAGAAGAACCGGTGTACATTCCACCGTATGAACAGTGGATTGACCCCGATTTTGTGCCAAAGTACGGGTCTGATGAGGAGTTCGACTCAAAGGAGCAGATAGAAGTCCCAGCGGAGTCGAGTGGCATCAATAACCCGATTGAGATAGGAGCCGAACCGGAGTCCTCGTAGGAGCCGACAGTCCAGGGGGATTTGGACTCAGAGGGCGAAGAATCAGATTCATAGTGGACGCCTAGTAGATGGCGTAGGGATTTGGTTTAAGGGTTGATAAGAGATAGTTTTGAGGAGTTCCATTTTTGGTGATAGAATGTCCAGGCTATCGATCCTTTTGATGTCGGTGGTTTATAGTACAGCGTGCATATGTATATGGTGGCTTGTAAATGGTGAATATTATATAAGTTTGAATGAAGAACGAGTATGTTTATTCTCCCTGTTTACACCAGTTTTATTATTGTCTGGATAATTGAGGTTTCCGCCGATCGTTTTAAATCTCTGAAAAGATAATAATTGGGTCGGCGATACCCTGGGACATCGCATCAATTGACCAGAGTGGTGTTACGCGTGCTCGACGGGGTTCGGGGCGTGACATTCGAGTTGAATTGGTATCAGAGTGAGGTTAGCTCGATCTAAACTGGTCGGAGTTTGGAGTGATAAGGAGCAGAGACCCTGGGGTAGTGATTTGGGGAGACCTTAGCAAGTCATAGGGCGAAATAAGCTACACGTGCCTCCAGATTGTTTGTTGTAATTGGTTGAGTGAATTGATTGTTGTGATGACTGAAATGCAGGTGCGTCTGGACCTGAGGTAAGTGTTCAGACTTTATTGATTGTGGCCTCGTGACTGTAATGATTGATTACCTGCTGAGTGAATTCTTGCGTTAATTCACTGCCTAGGACTAGACTGATCTAGTTCGCCTAGGTTACTGATTCCTGAGTGGAACTATAGCAGGTAGGAGAGTGGTAGGAAGCTGAAATAATGAGCAGCGAAGGAAGAAGTGTAGGAAGAGTCCCAAGAAGGGGCGCAGGAAGAGGAACAAGAGGTGGAGGTCGTGCTCGAGCTAGAGCTGTAGAGGACCTCGGTATGGGTGCTAGAGCGGTAGAAAACCCTGGAGTTGATGCTGGAGCTGCAGTGGACCCCAGAGTTGATGTTAGACCTGCAGAGGATCCTAGAATGGAAGCGGTCATGAGGACCCTAGAACAGATTGGTAATTTAATAGGACAGCAGACTCAGGAACGAGCTGCTACGAATGCCCAAGCTGCTGAGGCCACTGCTGCTAATAATAATAATGGGAATCAAGGGCAGGGGCAAGTGAATGTGAATAGACAAATGCACCAATTGGTCGAGCAGTTTATGAAGCTAAAATCACCTAAGTTTTACTGGAAAAGGTAACCCCGAGGCTGCACCACGATGGGTAGAGGAACTCGAGAAAGCCTTTGAGGTATTAGGGTGCACCGATAATGAGAAAGTAATCCTGGCAGTATATCAATTACGCGACAATGCGAATGACTGGTGGAAGGCCACTTGGGATAGAGTGTTTCCCGAAGGTACCGCCCAGACTTGGGTTGCGTTCACCGAAAGTTTTTATGGAAAGTATTTCTCGGAGAGCGCTAGGGAAAGAAAGCTAGCAGAGTTTATGAGACTCCGCCAAAGTCAAATGACGGTGGATCAGTATGAGGCGGAATTTGCTAGATTGTCTAAATTTGCGTCGAGAATGGTAGAGCATCCCGAGCATAAGGCGCGAAGGTTTCAGGATGGATTGAAAGCTGACATTCGTAGACAGTTGATACTGGTGAATCTGAGGACTTATGAGGACATATATGATAGGGCTCAGGCTCTTGAGAGGGACCAGGTAGACAGGGCAGCCGCATCTGGGTCGAGGTTTGTCCAGGATAGGGACAATCGTAATCTCGGGAAGAGGCCAATGTCGGGTAATAGACGTTTTGTCCCTCATATTAGAAGAAAAATAGGGAAGCCGGCCCGAAATCAGAATGGTCCATGTCGGTTATATGGGGAAAGGCATGGAAATGGACATTGTCCAACTCGGGGCAGAGCATGTTTTGGGTGTGGTGGATTTGGTCATCACGTAAGGTATTGCCCCAATCTCAGGCAAAATAGATCGCCTGCGTTGCCGCCACCCAGGAATGGGAATCAGACTGGAGCGGCCCAGACAGCTAATCAGAATAGGCCACAGGCGCAAGGACGAGTGTACGCCATGGCCAGGAGAGAAACTGAGAACGCGCCAGGGGTTGTCACAGGTACGGTTTCTCTGTGCAACCATGCTGCGTATGCTTTATTTGACCCTGTGGCGTCACATTCTTTCATATCTGAGCAATTTGTTGAGTTGATTGGTTTAGAACCGCAGTCGCTTGATGTTGTGTTATGTGTGACAACTCTCTTGAATGACAAGATGCTAGTTTTATTGGGGTGTCCAAATTGTAAGATTGTGATTGGGGATAGGGAGGAAATGATTGATTTAGCGGTTATAACCATGTATGATTTCAATATGATAGTGGGTTTGGACTGGCTGTCTAAGCAGAGGGCCGTAATGGATTGCAATAGCATGGTGATCCAATTTAATCCGGTTGGACATCCGGAATTTAAATTTGTGGGAAGTCGAGGAGGACCCTCGATTCCATGGGTTTCGTCGCTAGAAATGACGAAGTTGTTGAGTGAAGGGTGTCAAGGATTTCTAGCGGCTGAAGAGCCGAGGCTAGATGATATAGCTGTGGTGTGCGAATATCCCGATGTGTTTCCTCAGGAATTGCCGGGATTGCCACCAGAAAGAGAAGTAGAATTTGTAATCGAGTTGGCACCTGGAACTGAGCTAATCTCGAAGGCGCCTTATAGAATGTCGCTGTCTGAGTTAAATGAATTAAAGGTACAAATGCAAGAATTGTTAGACAAGGGATTTATTCGTCCGAGTGCGTCCCCGTGGGGAGCGCCGGTTTTATTTGTGAGAATGAAAGATGGATCGTTGAGGTTATGTATAGATTATAGGCAGCTAAATCAGGTGACGATCAAAAATAAATATCCTTTGCCGAGGATTGATGATTTGTTTGATCAATTACAAGGGGCTTCGGTGTTTTCTAAAATTGATTTGAGAACAGGATATCATCAGTTGAGGATTAAGAAGGAGGATATACCAAAGACGGCATTTAAGACGAGATACGGACATTATGAATTTACGGTAATGCTGTTCGGATTGACGAACGCTCCTGCTACCTTTATGGACCTAATGAATCGGGTATTTAAGGAGTTCTTAGATCAATTCGTGATCGTTTTTATAGACGACATATTGGTGTACTCGAAGAGCCTAGAGGAGCATGAATTTCACTTGAGTAAGGTGTTGCAAACCTTAAGAGAGAACGCACTGTATGCTAACTTTAGCAAGTGCGAATTCTGGCTCAATCGAGTAGCATTTCTCGATCATGTGATCTCTAGGGAAGGAATCTCGGTAGATCCAGCGAAGATTGAGGTTGTGATGAAGTGGCCGAGACCGACGACGGTAACAGAGGTTCGAAGTTTTCTAGGTTTGGTTGGATATTATCGTCGCTTCGTTGAAGGGTTTTCAGCAATAGCAACGCCGTTGACACATTTATTGAAAAAGGAAACGAGATTTGAATGGACCGACAAATGTGAGAGGAGTTTTCAGGAATTGAAACATAGATTAACAACGGCACCGGTATTGACTATTCCATCAGGACCCGGAAGATATGAAATTTATAGCGATGCGTCGTTGAAAGGATTGGGGTGTGTACTCATGCAAAATGGACAAGTAGTGGCCTACGCGTCTAGACAGTTAAGACCGCATGAGTTGAATTATACAACGCATAACTTGGAATTAGCCGCAATAGTATTCGCCCTGAAGATTTGGCAACACTATTTATGCGGAGAGAAATTTCAGATCTATACCGACCATCAGAGCCTCAAATATTTGTTTTCTCAAAAGGAGTTAAACATGAGGCAGCGTCGGTGGATGGAGTTGTTAAAGGATTATGATTGTGATATTCTATATCATCCCGGGAAGGCTAACCGGGTAGCCGATGCATTGAGTTGGAAGTCGAGCATCGCGCATTTAATAGTCAAGGAATGGACATTGCTAGAAAAAGTGCGAGACTCGGAGTTTAGATTCGAAGTAAGTCAAGTCTCGAGCTTGCTGGCTACGCTTAGGATTGAATCGGAGATCCAGGCTAAGATTAAGATGTTACGGTCTACGGATCAAGAAATCCAAAGGATTTCAGAGATGGAGGCGGCCAAGAGAAAGCCGGACTTCCAGATATCCGAAGACGGGATACTGAAGTTCCGTGGATGATTATGTCTGCCCGATGATGCGGAGCTTAAGGAAGAGATTTTGTCAGAAGTGCATCGTAGCAGTTATAGTATCCACCTAGGTAGTACCAAAATGTATCAGAATTTGAGGCAGTACTATTGGTGGAACGGTATGAAAGTGGATATAGCCAGACATGTAGCCAAATGTCTGACGTGCCAGCAAGTGAAGGCACAACATTGCAAGCCTGGAGGATTGTTGCGACTGTTGGAAATCCCAGAATGGAAATGGGAGTATGTAACTATGGATTTTGTGTCGGGATTACCAAGGAGCCAAAGAGGTCATGATATTATTTGGGTGATTGTCGACAGATTGACCAAGTCGGCATACTTTTTGGCGGTGCGAAAGGATTTCGCATTAGATCGGTATGCTGAGTTATATGTGCAGCAGATAGTTCGATTGCATGGGGTACCAGTAACTATTACCTCATATCGTGATTCTAGGTTTACCGCCAGTTTTTGGAAAAGTCTGCAGACGACATTAGGATCCAAGCTGCAGTTTAGTACAGCTTACCACCCTCAGACGGATGGCCAGTCTGAGAGAACGATTCAGACTTTAGAGGATATGCTTAGGGCATGTGTGTTAGATTTTCAGGGTAAGTGGGAAGAACAATTGCCCTTAGCAGAATTTGCATATAACAATAGTTTTCAGCAGAGCATCGGAATGGCGCCCTTTGAAGCGCTATATGGCAGGGCTTGTAGGACGCCCGTGTGTTGGGACGAAGTAGGAGAAAGGAGTATAACCGGGCCAGAGTTAGTTCAACAGTCAATTGAGGCTGTTAAAGTGATTCGTGAAAGGCTGAAAACAGCTCAAAGCCGTCAAAAGAGTTATGCAGACAGAAGGCGAAGACCTTTGGAGTTTCAAGTAGGGGATCACGTATTTCTTAAGGTATCGCCCATGAGAGGACTATCCAGATTTGGTAAGAAAGGCAAGTTAAGTCCGAGGTACGTGGGACCTTTTGAGATTTTAGAAAGAATTGGGGATTTAGCGTATCGCCTTGCACTTCCACCGAATTTGTCGCAAGTGCATAATGTGTTCCACGTATCGATGTTGAAGAAATATGAACCGGACCCAACTCATGTGTTAAATTATGAGGAGATAGAAGTTGACGACAAGGTGTCGTATACCGAAAGACCAATAAGGATTGAGGATCGGAAAGAGCGAGTTTTGAGGAACAAGACGATCCTGATGGTCAAGGTTGTATTGGAGCATCATGGGACTGAAGGCGCGACTTGGGAAAGTGAAGAGATAATGCAACGTCAATACCCCCAATTGTTTGAATAGTAGTGGGATTTGTAAATTTCGAGGACGAAATTTTTGTAAGGGGGGAAGAGTTGTGACAGCCTAAAATTTGCCTATTTGGGATTTATGAAATGCTTGGTTTTATGAATGTACTCGTAGTCAGTTCTCGCCCGGAACTGATCATTCCTGGGATACTAACCAATAGGGAAAGGCTAATTAGGGATTTAAATTCGTGTGACTAAAGAAAATTCGATCGTGAATTGATTTTCAACCATAAAATCGTCGATGTGACATTTTGAGCCACTGTAGGCCGATCCAAGGATAGCCAGGGGTTAGTCCGCCATTGTCATAGTAGTGGATCGCGGGTGATTCCGCTGGACCACGAAATGAATTGACGAATGATCCTGAACCTATACCAAACGATCGTGCCCCTCGGATCTAGCAATCGATCCTCGCGATTAAGTGACAACCGAAGTCGTCACGGACCGAATGAACTTGCACGTGACTCGATTTATTATCAGTCACGGGTCGAATATGCGAATTTCCCTAAAAGCCGCCTGTTAGTTTGAGAAACGCTTGAGTTACGTTAAATAAAATTTGATTATTAATTAGAGCCCAAATTGGACATCGGAAAATTGGGAATTCACAACGGGACGTTAGGACGACGTTGTGGTTGGAACGTACAGCTTTGGATTTTCTCGGATCCTTCCGAAAAATTCAATTTTGGCAAGAAAATGGAAAAGTGACCGTTTTACCCCTAGGAATTTGTTAAGGGCAAGCTTTAAGAGGGAAGGGCATTTTGGTCATTTTGCCCTAATTTTTGAGTTGGACAATTTTGCCCTTGAACTTTTTGAGAAATTCCCAAATTGCCCTTGGATATTTTGGAAAAGATTCGATCTCGGCCGTCGATTCCAAGATAAGATCGAATCTCGGCCGTTGATTAAAAAGATTAGAGAGGGGCAAGATGGTAATTTGCCAAAATTGATCAAAATTGGACTATTTAGACCAAGACCCATTCTCTCTCTCCTCATGCTCTCTCTCTCAAACTCTTGGCTCTCTCTCTCTCTCTCCCCCTCCCTCACCGTGAGCTCTCCCTCTCCCCCTTGGCCACTCATCGCCGCCGCCGGCCACTGCCCGTCGCCGCCGCCACCGCCGCACCGCTTCACAGCCCTCACGCCACCGCCACCACCGTCCTCTCTCTCTATCTCTCTCTCGGCTCACCCTTTCTCTCCCTTGGCCGTGGACAGCCGGTCCAAGCCGAGCAAGCTGCCACTGTCGCCGTGCGCCGATCGCCACCGCCGAGCCGCGCCGCCGTTCACCGTTAACCGCCACCCATTTTTCGCTCGAGCCGAGTCAGTCTAGAGTGTCGGTAAGTCGCGCTCTAAACTTTATTTAGGACTTCGGGTATCGACAGACAAAATTGAGGTGGAATCGGGTTAAATTAGACAAGGATTAGTATGGTTTTAGGGGCGGATTTGATTAGCGGGCCTAAGGAATGAATATGGGGAAATTTTGGTGGAAATTTAGAGGCCGATTATATGCTGAATTTGTTGGTTTGAATGCTGGAAAATGGGGTTCGGTATGTAAATTAAGTATTTAGATCCGGCGACTAATTGTGGGAAAATGTCGTGAAGAGACGGAACTGATTTGCCATGGTTTTGATATGAAAAAAATGCCAATTTGTATGTTGGTTGTGCGTTTGAACTGTGGTGATGAAATTGGGTGCATTGGTGTGCAATTGATTGATTGAAATATGCTTGATTATGTGCACGCCCGGGCTGAATTGAATTAATTGTCAATCGGCCATGTTGAATGCTTAATGAGCATGAGAATGTGTGTGAATTGGTGCATGCACGGGCTACGCGTGATTGGCCAATTTATTGGCAAGTGAGTGTGGAGCATGTGTATGAGCGAGAAATTGTGTGGTATGGTATGTGTGATTGTGGAAATCCCTGAGGCGGTACCATTACGTGGGGAATTGATCCGTCCTGAGGCGGTACGAATACGCGGGACGATACCCGGTATTACCGGAGGACGGCCAACCTGAGGCGATACCATTACGCGGGTTGTGTCGTAGGTGGTGGGCGTTGAGCCTGAAAGGGTACTACTACGCGGGCAAGATACACAGCCTGAGGCGGTACCATTACGCAGACCCTGGAGTATTGTGATGAGTTGGTTGCAGTGAACCTGAGGCGGTATCATTAAGCGGGTCACTGGTGAGTGATGTGAAAAAGATGTGATGAGATCGGAATGAATGCATGAAACGTAATTAGAACATGCATGTGAGTGGAATGATGTTATTATGGCTAACGTGCAGGTTGCACGATGGAAAGGCCCAGGTAAGTATTGATTGTGTGCCTGCGATGTAATAGCTGAGTGTGGTTGTTTGTCTTGATTGTCTAGAGGTACGTAATAGCCTAGGTGGGGTTTAGGGTGTGTGCTTACTGAGATGTATTCTTATGGTTGTTTCAACCAAACAATTTCAGAACCCCGGCCTGAACAATGAATCCGCTGCCGCCGTTGCCACCAGAGCGTTTTGGGTTACCAGTGCACATCGACCACAATGTAGTAGAGTTTCCGATCGATGAAAATATGACCTTGATAAAGCATACCTCAGTAGTTTGGGTAGATATAGGGTTACTCCTTTTGCAGGCCCACACATACACCGCCTGATTCTTCAGGGACAGGATAGACGAGTTTGGACCCGTCCGCGGATTTGACATCCCCTTTGATGGAGTTGGGGACTGGGACCCGTCTGCTATACCTCCTCCGGATGGCGAGTTGACTAGTATGGAGACTAAACTAGCGCAGTCAGGACTACAGCCGACGCCCGCAGCACCTGAGTCTTTCTGGGGTAGAGCAAGAACTAGAGCCCGAAGGATCGCAAGCGGGGTACGATCCGATGGATGTGGATCTTGAGCCGATCCCAGAGGAAGAACCAGAAGAAGAGGAACCCGAGGCGGAACCTGAGGAGGAGCCCGCTGAGCCAGAAGAAGAACCGGTGTACATTCCCCTGTATGAACAGTGGATTGACCCCGATTTTGTGCCAGAGTACGGGTCTGATGAGGAGTCCGACTCAGAGGAGCAGATAGAAGTCCCAGCGGAGTCGGGTGGCATCAATAACCCGATTGAGATAGGAGCCGAACCGGAGTCCTCGGAGAAGCAGACAGTCCAGGGGGATTCGGACTCAGAGGGCGAATAATCAGACTCAGAGTGGACGCCTAGTAGAGGGCGTAGGGGGTAGGTTTAGGGGTTGATAAGAGACAGTTTTGAGGAGTTCCATTTTTGGTGATAGAATGTCCAGGCTATCAATCCTTTTGATGTCGGTGGTTTATAGTACATCGTGCATATGTATATGGTGGCTTGTAAATGGTGAATATTATATAAGTTTGAATGAAGAACGAGTATGTTTATTCTCCCTGTTTATCCCAGTTTTATTATTGTCTGGGTAATTGAGGTTTCCGCTGATCGTTTTAAATCTCTGAAAAGATAATAATTGGGTCGGCGATACCCTGGGACATCGCATCAATCGACCAGAGTGGTGTTACGCGTGCTCGATGGGGTTCGGGGCGTGACAGAGAGGAAGCTGAGAATAGTTTTGCTATTTTGAAGGAGAAGTTATGTACTGTACCTGTTCTTGCTTTACCTGATTTTGATAAACTGTTTGAAGTGGACTGTGATGCTAGTGGAGTGGGTATAGGAGCTGTTTTATCTCAAGAGCGTAGGCCAGTTTGTTATTTTAGTGAGAAGCTCGGTGACGCAAGACAGAAGTGGAGCACTTATGATAAAAAATTCTATTCTGTCGTAAGGGCTTTGAAGACCTGGGAGCATTATCTGATTGGGAAAGAATTCGTCATTTATTCTATTCTGTCGTAAGGGCTTTGAAGACCTGGGAGCATTATCTGATTGGGAAAGAATTCGTTATTTATTCTGATCATGAAACTTTGAAGTATCTGGATAGTCAGAAGAGGATTAGCAAAGATATGCATGTGCGATGGTGTCAATTTTTGCAAAAATTTCCTTTCAGATTACAGCATAAGTCAGGTGTGCATAATGTTGTAGCAGATGCATTGAGTAGGAGAGCTGGCTTGTTGATTACGTTGAGCCAGGAAATTCTAGGGTTCAAGTAGCTGAAAAACTGTTATGTAGATGATGATGACTTTGGAAAAGTTTGGGAGTCATGTACTGCTGGTCAACCTGTACAAGAATTTTATATGCAGGATGGTTATCTGATGCGTGGCAATCAGCTTTGCCTTCCTCGGACATCATTACGAGAGAAGGTAATTCGCGATTTACATGATGGTGGATTAGCTGCACATCTACGTCGTGATAAAACTATTGCTGCAGTCTGGGAGCGATTTTACTGGCCCCAGTTGCGTAGAAATGTCAGCAGGTCGCCTTTTTCTGTTGTTTATACAAATGCGCTTCAGCATACTCTGGATTTGGTACAGTTGCCTAAGCAAGCGGATAAAAGTGTAGCAGCGGATCATATGGCTAAACAGATTATGGAAGTGCATCATGAAGTCAAACAGAAGCTGGAGGAAGCTAATCAGAAGTATAAAGCTGTAGCAGATAAACACAGGCGGAAGGAGATGTTTGTGAGCCGTTATCTCCAGATTCTGATTTTAACTCGAGGATGAGTTCTTTTCAAGTGGAGGAGAATGATGCGGAATCTATTAGTGGTGCATTTCTGGACCGATTGGACAGGCAGAAGTCCAAACGGAAGGCGAAACGGTGATGCGACTAGAACCGGCGGACCCGGTCGACGACATCGGATATTTTTTTATGAGTTAATTTAAAAAGGCAGTTTCCTAATTTTGATGTTTTACGCTTTCCAATTTTAGTAGGGTTATAATTTAAGTTGAGGACTGAATTAGCATCCATACAATAGGTTTAGGATTGATTGGATACGTCTCTCGAATTGTAGTGCTCACCCGGTAAGATGATCCGGTTTTGTGAGTATACTCTCCACTTGCCATTCTATATAGATAATGTGGATCCGAAAGATTATGAGGCCAGAGAACTTTAAAATGGGAATTAATGGTGTCTAAAGACTAACAAGAGGTCCTTTTTGGATGGTCGAGAGAAGGGCCTTACGAAATAGCATACTTGTCTCACATCTCCATTGTTTCCCATCTTAGACTCCTCATTGCAAAATATAGGAATGTAAAAGCAAATTTTGGTATGGTTTACGTTGTTTTTTCCAATTTGAAGCAGTGGCTTACAGTCATGGCTACTCTACCAATTCTCCGTGAGGTGTGTGTATATATATATTGTAGGGTATTACCTAGATCAAGCTGTCTCAATTCCTCCGCCAAACGTAAGCGTGCAGGAAACATCTTTGTCTGATCTTACTCGTGACACATAAACAAACAAAATCCAGATCAGAGAATATATAAAACATGTTCGAGTAGCTAATTACAGGATTTGGTTAATAAGCACACGGTCTGAGTCATTATTTGACTAGCGAATAGGGATTAGTGGGCGTTTTTTTAGGATTTGTTTGGCATGTTGCACAAGCCCTACAACTTTGTAATTTGCTTCTGCAATAGCCAGGATCTACGTAATTGGGGGACACCCATGTGGTCACCCCACCGGACAGGCCGTGGACGTTCTGAAGCAAGGGATGCTTCACCAGAACATGTCTGAAAAATTGAGCCTATTGTTGTTTAACATTGCTTAATGTACGTTAAAGATGTTCTCTCAAGAGTCCTGAAGAAAGTAACCCGAGAAACTGAAGCCATGAAGGGACAGATTCCGACAGATTCTGAAAGTTGCTCATCGTTGCATGACTTGCTTCGGGCGGCCGATTGACCAATAAAAAAGAAATTAAACGAAACTTGTGTGATTCGCATGATTAACGCTTCAACAATGAGCCTCGAGATGCCAACCTATAAATGGCCTATCTGAATAGATTTTTTACTTTTTTTTATAATCTAGGGACACAGTTGTGGAAATCTAGTTACCTAGAGTTTCATGGAATATCCTGCAAGCCCCAATTAGATTCAGACTTATGACTTGTATAGAAGGATTGTGGCCTAGAGCAGTTTTGCACGCAATTTGTGGGATTCGAACAAGCGACCTTCTAGTCCCTAACTGAAAATCTTCCAACGCCCCAATCAACTAAAAATCGTCTAGTTTTTACTTTTGGCTTTTTGCTTGATCTTTGCACAACATCAACATGATGTAGCTAGCAGGTATCACCTAGAGGAGAGTGAATAGGTGATTCAAGTGAATTTGTAGAATTTAAAGCGGAAATGACTTTATAATCAGTAAAGTCTGAACAATAATCAGATTTTGAATGTTCTAGTGCGCAGTGTAAATAATATAATGGGAGATTAGAGATGAAGAGAACTGCACACAAGAAATTATAGTAGTTCGGCTTAGATTAAGTTTACGTCCACTCTCCCACGCTGACAGCCTACTGGCTGGATTCCACTATATGATCAAAGGGATTACAAGATTTGACTGATATCACTCGGTGAATGATAGAATTCTCTATCTCACACAATCACTTTTACAGAAAATCCCTCAAAATCTCAGTATTTAGCTCAAGAAATACAAGTAATAGAATCAGAATGTACTCAAACTTTGGACTTGTTGATTCTCGATTTCGTTCTATTCGTTCTGCTCCTCATTGATCTCCTTTTATACTCCTCCACTTCCAAACTAGCCATTGGACAGTCTTCAGAGGATCATCTTCCAATCTTCACCTTGGACAGATTTGTATAAAATGGATTGAGTAGCCGTTGGTTGACAAAATCCGAATCCCATTGAATCTGGTCGCCCATACAATCAGAATCCCGGTTTCCATAAGTAGAGTTTTATCCATTGTGATATATACTTGTCATAATGTTTGATTGTCAATCAATTAGGCTTAGATTGAGTCAATCAAAACTTTCCTTTTGTGAAATCCACGCCAGATCACTAGCTGTTATGTTTCGTTCTAAATAAATTCTGAGTCTGAAGAATTTCTAGTTCTTACTTTACATTCAGAAACTAAGTCAGCGTAGGTCTTCAGTAAAGTCTGAGTCCTTCAAAATTAGAGTCTGAAGATCTCTGACATCTTAATATGAAGTCTGAGTTTCTATCTTAGTAGGGTCTGAACTTCTCGTTCTGAAACTCGTTAAGTCTGAAGTTTTCGTTTTGAAACTTGTAGAGTCTGAACTTTTCCTTCTGTACCTCGTAAAATCTAAGCGTCCAGAAAGTTAATTTCTCTTGAAGTATTAAAGTTGCCACTTTCAGAATATATTTACCTAGATCAAAATACTTCAGAGTACATATCAGATTTACAAGATTAACATGGATAGTTTTGTCAACTATAAAATTAGGAAGTTTCCTCAACAATGTCCCCCTTTTTATGGTGACAAAACTTCCATGCAGATTAAAAGATTTGATAATATTTGAGAATAAAATGAACATTAAATAACTATTGAGCGCATAAGGCACAGATAAATGTAAGTGCAAATTGTAAAATCTGTGTCCTTTTCTTTTCTTCAAGTCCGTCCAATAACCTGCATTACGTCTGCATACCAGATAATAATGATAATATGCATCCTGTAATATATGTTCTGCAATATATGCAATATATTATCCCCCTTTTTGTCAGCAGCAAAAAAATAGATAATGGAAGATTAATACTGAATAACCAAGTCAGTTACATAAATCAAGCCTAAGAGAAAGTAATAGTTCAAAATAAACATCGAAAAGCAAAGTTTTAATCGAAGGGAGATGAAGCAGGCTATTTTTTGGAAGGTGTGCGAACGAGTTGAAAATTTTTAAGGATTTGAACAGTTTCCTCGATTCTGAGAGAACATTGACCAACAGCTTGCTCCAGATTAGTTGAACATTGAGCAATGGCCTTTTCAAGATCTACTTTGTCTTGTTCTGCTTGAAGACAAAGATTTTTACTATGTTCTTCAATAATGGTCTTAAGATTCTTCATATCTTCTTCGAGAACTGACTGTTTGTCTTTAATTTCTAGCAGAAGTTGAAGTATGGTCCTGTCCTCTGAGGGTTGTCCCTGGACATGTTCAGATGCAAAGTGTTCAAACTCACCTTCTCTTGCAATCGAAATCTCCCCTTGAGTATCTGCATATTCTGCAGCAACATTCTCTGATATTACTTATTCAGGGTGTTGTTGTGGAGATGGACCTTCTTCTATCACCATAGGAATTGTGCTGTGTTCCTGTTGTTTTGAAC